ACAGGAAAGAAAGCTTAAGACTGGGTCACAAAGCAGTTAAGTCAGTGGGCCATGAATTTTTTTTTAGCATTTTACTAATAAAAATTTCAAACAGAACAGTTAAAAAAAAAAAAAAACTGTTCAGTGAAGGCCCATAAAGCCAATACTCAGCTTCTCTAAATAACATTTTGCTCTATTTGCTCCACTAGGTATCTATCTAGGTATCCACCCATCAATTGATCTTATTTTTTATTCATTTCAAAGTTGCAGACGGCAGTATACTTCATCTCTAAACATCTGAGTTCAGTATTTGTTTTCTGTTCATATTCTGTATTTTTAAAGTTAAAGTTATACAGCAAAATGCACAAGTGTACACTTGGGTAAGTTCCGATAAATGAATTCACCAACATAACTCAAACTTCTATTAAGACATATAACACTGGACAGGCATGGTGGTTCCGGCCTGTAATCTCAACACTCTGCGAGGCCAAGGCTAGTGGATCACTTGAGGCCAGGAGTTCAAGACCAGCCTCTACTGGCGAAACCCCACCTCTACCAAAAATACGAACATTAGCTGGGCGTGGTAGCGGGGGCATGTAGTCCCAGCTACTTCCCAGCTACTTGGGAGGCTGAGACCTGAGAATTGCTTGAATCTGAGAGGCAGAGGTTGAAGTGAGCCGAGATCACACCACTGCACTCGAACCTAGACAACAGAACAAGACCCTGTCTCAAAAAAAAAAAAAAAAAAAAAAAAAAAAAACAACATTTAACTTACAGAAATAGAGAGTAGAATAGTGGTTATCAGAGGCTAGGGGTCCTTGGGAGATGCTGGTCAAAGGACACAAAATTTCACTTATGAGAAACAGCTTCAAGCGATCTACTGTATATCTTGACTACAGTGAAATATATTGTATATTTGAAAATTGCTGAGAGTAGATTTTAAGTGTTCTCACCACACATAAAAAAATGTATATGTTAAATAGACTGATGTAATCATTTCAGATGTGTGTGTGTCTATCAAAGCATCGTGTTGTACACCATTAATATATAATTTTTACTTAATTAAAATTAACTAATTTTTAAATTAAATTAACATTTCCATTATCTCAGAAAGTTCCCTCACTGGGCCTTGATTTGAATACATGATCTGCTTCCAAAGTCTACAATCTTTTCACAACACTATGCTACTTCTTTTTAATATATAAACATACTAAACATATTAAATTTTTTATGTCAAGCTCTCAATAATTAAGGGAGCTGAAACATAGAAATATAAAAGGAAGAACACCCTGGAGACACCCTCCACCAAGGCCAAACAACCCAGGTGTTTAATGTCTGTAGCAAGTTGAGTATACCACCTTCCTTCCATCAATTTCCACTACATAAATAAAACTACTTCTTCCAACCCTAAGAGTTCAACAGTTAATCCAGGAGGAATGGATGACGCCATAAAAAGTCTCATATGTTCATCTCTTATATCTCCAATTAAACTAACAGATGGTTAGGGCAAGACCATTTCTTATGCTTGTGAGGCAAGAAGTAGGTTAGTGGTTAGTGGTTGCCATAAAAGGCAACAGACAGCTGAAGAAAAAAAGGAAATACTTCAGAATCAGCCAGGTCTGGGTTCACTGTCCTCACACTTAATATGTACTACGTACATATTACATAACGATGTAATATGTACATCGATGTACATATTATGTAACGATGTAATATATAATATGTATGTTACATTATTACGTAATATGTACATAGTACATATTAATGTACAGCTATGTAATGATGTATAAATTACTTAACTTCTCTAAGCCTCAGGTTCCTCATCTGTAAAATGAGCCCTATATTTTACCTTCTTTTCAAAGTCAAGCTTCTCAAATAAATGACCTACATCCAGATAGATGCAAGCCAGACAAGCCCTTATCCTGGACCTCAAAATTTAGGGGAAATTACTCTGGCCTTCTAGCAGCCATGCCCCTTCCCATGGGATAAGAGACCTTGGGAGCAAAAAGCATGGACATTATGAGCCCATCCTGGCTGCAGACTGTACTCCAGGTAATCTAAAACCAGGAATTTCCTGACCAAACAGCAGTAGGCCTGGCTTCTAAGGTCTGCAGACCCATTCCCTGGTTCTTGCTTCTTGAGGATGGCACTTGAATGTGAGGACTGGTGGGTCCAAGTATATGTGTAAAGCCAGCTTGAAGTACAGAATAGATTGTAGGGTAAGAAGAGAATGGGACTTAGGCTCAGACGAGGTGGGCCCAGTGGGCCTGGTGGGCCTGGCCCATGTGGACATATACTGGCACGTAACTCTGAAGAATCCGAGAATTCTTAGTTTAAACCTTATCTTCCAGGTCCATATGAAGATTATTTGTCATTGGTGGGGGGGAGGACAAAGTATATTTTACTCAATAATTTGTTAATTTAACTTACATACATATAGTATATTGGCCTTTATATTTGCTGCAGACGCTGCAAATGTTACAAGTGGACATGTCTACACATACTACTCATAACTTAAATGTGTATATAGTATTTGCCAAATTTGCCTTCAATAGTATCATACTTAATCACATAGTAATATCATAGGTTAGGTTTTATTAACCCCACTGCACAGATAAAAAACCAGACATGTGTAAGAAACATGTCCAGTGTTCTTTTCTTCTATCTTCACATCACTCTCTTAACTCCCAAATATCTGGGTCTCCTACTCTACCATTATCTCTAATACTGCACTCTCCAAGATAATGTGCCTCTGATCCCCAAATGTGGTCCTTAATCACCATGACCTCTCTTTAGCATCTGATACTGTCAACAATTTTTCCTTTCTTAGAATAGCTTTCTCTCTGATTTCTAAGCCTTCACTATTCCAGTTTTTCACTTAGCCTTTCGATCTTTCTCTGGCTTCTCTTCTTTTTTCAGAGTTTTTGTGAAGAGCGAGTAAGACAATGTTTCTGGGTCCGGCGCGGTGGCGCATGCCTGTAATCTCAGCACTTTGGGAGGCTAAGACATGTGGGTCACCTGAGGTCAGGAGTTCGAGACCAGCTTGACTAACATGGTGAAACCCTGTCTCTACTAAATACAAAAACTTAGCTGGGCATGGTGGCGGGCACCTGTAATCCCAGCTACTCGGGAAGCTGAGGTAGGAGAATCGCTTGAACCTGGGAGGCAGAGGGTGCAGTGAGCCGAGATCATGATGGGCATGATCCAGCCTGGACAACAAGAGTGAAACTCTGTCTCAAAAAAAAAAAAAAAAAACAATATGTTTCCCTCTGGACACCGTCAGCACATAGCTACATTTCATATGTTGGTTTTTTTGTGAGTGTTTTTGGTAATCTAAAAAGAATAGCTACCATTTTTTAGTGCAATGTCACAGCACTAGGTACATATATACATAACATACATATGTATGTCTGTATTATCCTATAATCCTATTTTAATAAAAATGAAGCTCATATTGGTTAATAGATTAGCCTGTGTTAGAAATCTGACTCCAACACTTTCTAGCGTTATACTCCCAGATAAATCATTTAAGTTCCCTGAGTGACTGCTTTTCCATCTGTGTAATGTTGCCATGGTCTTGTGAGAATTAAATGAAACAAGTTATAAAACAAATAGTACACCATACATAGTTAATAAATATTAACTACCGCCTCCTCTTGCTGCTTTCAGATGAATACATTAGTTTTTTTGTGTGTGCGTGTACCTTTCCAAAAACTAAGTCCTCTATCACTTGACCTTCTTCCTTCATACTCTATAACCACATTTTTAAAATTTTTCTTTTTCTTTAATTATTATTTTTAAATTTTATTTTCTGTACCTACATTTTATCATATTTGTGAATCTAACTCCTCTGGAAGGATGGTTCTGAATTAATTATCTGTGTACAGATCTCTAATTGTCCAAGCCCATACCTCTAAGTTTTGCTAGTTATTTCTATTTGGAAATTCCACTGCCTGCCATATTAAACTTATCACCTTCCTCACTAAACGAAGAATGGAAAGCAAAAGAGTAGGGCAGCATAAAATATTACGAGGACAGAATTGATGAGATAGATGATAAAGAAGCAGCCAATTTCACAGCTTCAAGCTTGCCTGAGAAAGAAAATGACAAAAACTGAGAAGCAGAGTTTTATAGATCATGTCTAAAACTTTTTTTCCTCAGTCTTCAGACATGAAACTCTAATTATTCTATTTCCCTAACCTACAAAGCCCAAAATGTTCTTTCCTTTGAATGCCCTCACATTTACATACTCTATTCATCTAACATCTAATTATATACTGTCTTCTTTTACCAATTTTTATAAATGTGTATCTTATCTACCTAACTGTGCTCCAGGTTTTTTAAAGCCAATGACTAACTCTTATATTTTTAGTATTTTTCTTTATGCCAATAAATGCTGATTGACTACAGTTATGAAGGTATGGTCAAGAACTCAGATAATCATGAATAAAGATGTTTTCAGATTTTTTTCTGACATGGAGGAAAAGCTTTTCAAATCAAAAGCTCGGAGATCCTTCCAAAAATAGGGAAAATGTGACAGTTAATTTATATTTCCCTCTGAAGGCTTTTAGTCTTGGTTTTAAACAGAAAAAAATAAATTCTCCAACAAGATTTCATTAGGCATGTGTTACTACTTTATAAATTATTTTCAAGAATTGTGCAAACTCTTTTTAAAAAAATGATATTTTTCTAAAATGATTACTAGTCATTTTAATTGCTATTGCAAAGCTATTCTTAAAATTAATGTCTATTAATTTTAGACATTAATAAATGTAAATGTCTAAAACCATGTAATATAGACTGATGTGCTACTTAAGTATTAAAGAATTTCAAAACTTCTAAAACCCAGATGACAAAAAACAATTCTTACAAAGTTTATTTAAAACAATGGATTTTTCCTTTCTTCCTTGGTTGGACTTATTTCAAATTTGGGAAAATTTGATTATATTACATTTTCTTTACTGTGATCAAAACAGAAGAAGTGCAGGGTAATAAACTGATTTTGATTTGTTTTTTTTTACCTGAGTAGCTTTGTCTTTCATGCATGAAGGGTAGTGAACATGAGGATCCCGTGGCCACTGTCCTGTGAGGTAAGGTCCTGTTATTGTATCCAAAGAGGAGGTTCGCCTTATTGTACTAGAGGTTCGAACTTGCTGAGATTTTGCCCTGTCCGCTACAAAAAGTGAAGAAAAAAAAAAAAGAGTAGTCATTAGTGAAGAAAATAAAATTTAAAGTTCTTTAACTTCATAGTTTGTAGAATGTCATCCTGTCAATTTTCCCCATTATATGTATATTTACACTAATAGCCCTGTTGTATGATCAGATGAAATGTATGAACCATGTCCCAAGGAAAATGCATTCATGTTAAATCTTACATACATTTCCAGGGCTTCCACAGACCCTATGAAGCCTATCCATTTTATACAAATCTGCATATCATCTCATTGCCATTATTTTAATTAAGACTCTTATTCATGTCTCACCTGAACTGCCAGTTTTCTAACTGCTATCCCTGTATCCATTTCAACTAAGTTTTAGTGTCATGCCCAAATAGAAAACATTTCCATGGTTAGTCATTGTCTTTAATTTAAAACCCGTATTATTTAGTATGACATAATAAGCTTTCATGATTTGGGTGCCATATGCCTCAATGTTTAATATCTTGCTATTCCATAATCCCATGCTAAGCAACACATGAATGGCCTGTGTTTTTCCAAAGGTAAAATACACTCTTTCTGCCTCTGTACATTCTACTTCCTGAGCCTAGAACTCTCTTTCTTGTTTACTTGACAAATCCATTTATCTTCAAGACCAGCTCAGATGTCACACTGACTCTGTGAAAATTTCCCCAATGCCCTTTCCTCTCCCCTTCTAAGATATACTTGCCTGTCTCTGCTTTCAGGGCACCCTAAGCCTGTTTCTCTCCCCCATCAGAGCATAAGTTTAAACCCTACAGACTAAATAGGAGTCAACATTCAGTACTCACTTAATAAATATATTCACAGCTATACAAAAATAACATGTATAAATAACTTTATATTTTAATCCAACTTCCTCATTCACAGATGAAGAATTTGAGGCCTAGAGGGACACTGAACAAGAGATGCAAACAAGGGACAGAGGTAAAAAGAACCCAAAATCTCTAGACATTATACACAGTTCAATCAATCTGCCATAACTTCTCCTTTCCATAGGGGTATCACAAGTATCTCTGTTAAAAATTAATCACACTGAATACCGAATCTATAAGGAAACTATAGAGGATTTTCCATATATCCATCCTAAATAATGTACTACTAATGTGCATTCTATGATAGATCCAGCAGATTTACAGGTTCCCAAGGCTAAGAGTCTTTTCAGAGTCATATCTCACATCAAAAATGCCTTCCTCTTTACAGAGGGTGAAGAAACATTTATTATTGAATGCTGTCCTTTACCTTCCTGAAATCAGAATTATTAGTTTACCAGAAAAACTGAAGAAAATGCATGTTATCATATTATGCAGATAATAGCTTAGAACTACAGTTTTTATTTTTTCCTTTGACCCAAGAATTGTAAGAAAAGATCTGAAAATTACCAGAGTTCCTCTTTATCTGTATTACTTTAGCTCCAATTGTATTGTACTGAAGGCAGTGAATCCAGTGGAACCCATTTCTACTCTTTGGAATTACCTGAAATTTTCCCTGTGACCAAAAACATGGTAATTTCTTATAAACATTTCATAAATCAAAGAGAAGGCATTTTATTTTCAGAATATATAGTTCCTTGTCTTATATATCAATTGAATTAAATTATAGAATATAGGAATAATTATCAGTTTTATCTGTTACAGACTTAGAAGGGTATTCTAAAATCTTTAAACTACTATTGAGTTCTAAAAATTCTCTTTATTCTTTGCACGTTTTTGACCTTTATATTTTAGTTCTATATTATTTATCACATATAGATTCTTTTTTTTTCTTCTTTTATTATACTTTAAGTTTTAGGGTACATATGCACAATGTGCAGGTTTGTTACGTAGGTATACATGTGCCATGTTGGTTTACTGCACCCATTAACTTGTCATTTACATTAAGTATTTCTCCTAATGCTATCTCTCCCCCAGTTCCCCCAACCCTATGACAGGCCCCAGTGTGTGATGTTCCCTGCTCTGTGTCCAAGTGTTCTCATTGTTCAATTCCCACCTAGGAGTGAGAACACGCAGTGTTTTCTGTCCTTGTGATAGGTTGCTGAGAATGATGGTTTCCAGCTGCATCCATGTCCCTACAAAGGACATGAACTCATCCTTTTTATGGCTGCATAGTATTCCATGGTGTATACGTGCCACATTTTCTTAATCCAGTCTATCATTGATGGACATTTGGGTTGATTCCAAGTCTTTGCTATTGTGAATAGTGCCGCGGTAAACATACGTGTGCATGTGTCTTTACAGTAGCATGATTTATAATCCTTTGGGTATACACCCAGTAATGGGATCGCTGGGTCAAATGATATTTCTAGCTCTAGATACTTGAGGAATTGCCACACTGTCTTCCACAATAGTTTAACTAGTTTACACTCCCACCAACAGTGTGAAAGCGTTCCCATTTCTCCACATCCTCTCCAGCATCTGTTGTTTCCTGACTTTTAGTGAATGCCATTCTAACTGGTATGAGATGGTATCTCGTTGTGGTTTTGATTTGCAGCCAGAAGAGAGTGGGGGCCAATATTCAACATTCTTAAAGAACTTTCAACCCAGAATTTCATATTCAGCCAAACTAAGCTTCATAAGTGAAGAAGAAATAAAATTCTTTACAGACAAGCAAATGCTGAGAGATGCTGTCACCACCAGGCCTGTCTTACAAGAGCTCCTGAAGGAAGCACTAAACATGGAAAGGAACAACCAGTACCAGCCACTGCAAAAACATGCCAAATTGTAAAGATCATCGATGCTAGGAAGAAACTGCATCAAATAATGGGCAAAATAACCAGCTAACATCATGTCAGGATCAAATTCACACATAACAATATTAACCTTAAATGTAAATGGGCTAAATACCCCAATTAGAAGACACAGCCTGGCAAACTGAATTAAGATTCAAGACCCATCAGTGTGCTGTATTCAGGAGACCCATCTCATGTGCAGAGACACACACAGGCTCAAAATAAAGGGATGGAGGAAAATCTACCAAGCAAATGGAAAGTGAAAAAAAAAGCAGGGGTTGCAATCCTAGTCTCTGATAAAACAGACTTTAAACCAACAAAGATCAAAAGAGACAAAGAAGGCCATTACGTAATGACAAAGGGTACATATAGATTACTGACATCAACATTACAGCTTATATGCATCACTATTATAATTTGTCCCATTAATTATTTTTTAAATTTTATCATACTGAATATTATGACCCGCTTCTGCTTTCTTTCTGTTAATTTGCATGGTATGCCCACCCTTTCATTTACAAGCTCTTAAAAGATTTTTTATGTGTATCATAAAACAAAGTATGTTTTTATACCTTTTGAAAAAAACATTGCAGCAAGCCTTCTGATTGTAAAAGGTGAGCTTATCCCACTTATATTTATTGTTATAACAAATCTGGTTTAACTTGTCATGTAATTTTTTCCTATTTTGGAATGTTTCCTTGCTGCTTGCTTTCTGTTTTATTGTTTGTTTCTTCTCCTTTTATCTTTACCTCCTCCCCACGTCACAGGTAACTTGTAAGACACATAAACTGTTTCTAGTTCTATTAACACGACTAGAAGTTATTTATATTAATTTTTTGAATATTTTTCCTGGTGATAAATACCTACTAATTTTAGCAACACTGGGAAACAGAAAAGTAACATCTCCCATTATCCAATTTATAATAATTTGTTTAAAATTTTAAAGTTTACTTTAAATTCCTTCCACCATGAAGAAACAAAAGACAACAAACTGTTGAGAGGCAAAGCCAACATTTATCAGTTGACCTCTAAATTTAAAAGGCCTATATAAAGGTCAGCTATAACCAGATAAGGAAACACCATTCTAAGTGAATAACTTGCACCTCTACTTAAATTGCTCCAAACAATTTGAAAAGTTGTATGTAGTCCATTTAATTATTAAAACTCCTTTTAGTTTAGTAAATAAACAATAGGAACCATTTTTAATGGTTTTTTTGAGGGGGTGGTGTTAAATTTATTTTATTTGTGTTTTCTACAGATGGTCTCGTTCTGTCACCCAAGGCTAGAGGACAGTGGCATGATCACAGTTCACTGCAGCCTCAAACTCCCAGACTTAAGTGATCCTCCTGCCTCAGTCTCTTGAGTAGCTGGGACCACAGGTGCGCATCACTACACCCAGCTAATTTTTTAAACTTATAGAGATGTGGTCTCACTATATTAACGAGGCTGGTCTCAAACTCCTGGGCTCAAGCGATCCTCCCACCTTGGCCTCCCAAAATGCTAGGAATACAGGTATAAGTCACCACTCCCAGCCTTGTTCTTTTTAGACACAGGGTATTGCTCTGTCACCTGCCCAGGCTGGAGTGTACCGGTGTAATCATAGCTCACTGCAGCCTGGAATCCTGGGTCTACAGTAGTTAGGACTACAAGTGTGCACCACCACATCGGGCTAATTTTTAAATTTTTTGCGGGGATGGGGGTCTCGTTGTGTTGCTCAAGATGATTTCAAACTCCTGGCCTCAAGCAATCCTTTCCCCTTAGGCTCCCAAAGCACTGCGATTACAGGTATGAGTCACAATACTCAGCCCATTTTAATGTTTTATAATGAGTTAAATACATAAATAATCTATAAATGAGTCCCTTGGTCTGTATAATAATACTCTATTTACTTTCACTTATTTACTCTATATTTACTTAATTTTTCTTTTCTTTTATATATATATATATATATATTTTTTTTTTTTTTTTGAGATGGACTGTCGCCCAGGCTGGAGTGCAGTGGCACGATCTCGACTCACTGCGAGCTCTGCCTCCCGGGTTCACGCCATTCTCCTCCCTCAGCCTCCCGTGTAGCTGGGACTACAGGCGCCCACCACCGCGCCCAGCTAATTTTTTATATTTTTAGTAGAGATGGGGTTTCACCATGTTAGCCAGAATGGTCTCGATCTCCTGACCTCGTGATCTGCCCGTCTCGGCCTCCCAAAGTGCTGGGATTACAGGCATGAGCCACCGCACCCGGCCTATTGTATT